TACGAACTTGCAACATCGTGTAGGAGTTACAATCGCTTAAACACGAGCAATGATCGGCTAACAACAAGCTGATGGGGACACATGAATTGGTCCGCCGCCGCATTGCGTAGGAGTACTCCACTAGACAGTCCATTAGATCATACATATATGGTACAAAAATTGTTGCTTGGTCTTTATGCAGCAAAAACCGCCAATTTGAAGTGTGGCGAGTTTCAAAATTATTGCTGGCAACATAAATTAATACAATATTAGTTCTACAATTTGCTGCTGATTGATAATTGGCAGGCGATTGGTTGGTTTGTTGGTGGAGGATAAGTGATGATATATATATATGTATGTACGTATGTTCTAAAATGTTTTTTAGAAAGCCAATAAACCAACTAGCACTTCATAAAACATTAACATATCCGCTGATAATCAGGCAACAACAACTGACGCAAAAACCACTTGTCATGTAACATCAGAAAATATTCCTCAGCGAGGGAAAGCAACGGAATATCTATTGGGTACCAGGCCACAACAAAGTAGTTGATCAGACTGCCATCTTTTTTCTTATGTGCTTTTAGGCCTAAATATAAGCCTGCTCTACAGACAGTAACTTCGAGGAGGCTGGGTATTACCAGCAGTGATACAAACGTAAAGAGAAGGACGGCATAAATAGTAAAACGTTGCCTTGGGGACTAGAACGGAGAGGATGTTATGGAGGAGGAAAAGGTGTTAATAAATCTTACTCTTGATTATTTTCAGCGAGCTCTAAGATTCTTGGTTAATCTCGGCGGTGATCTGCTAAGAAAAATTTTGAGGTGGTGCTAGATGACGATTACTTTTTTAACTTAGAAATTCATTAGGTGGAGCCCAGGGATGAACTCTGTGTGTGAAATTGGTGAAGTTTCCTTAGGTGGTTGGAGATGGTTCGAAATGACCATTTCATTCGCTGGGACGTGGATTCTTTTAAGTGTAATGCCACAAAAGCTGAGTTGTTGGCATTGCTTACTCCCATTCGGAAGGCCAGGACTCAAGTCCTAGTCCGACCAACATCCGCAATAATAGAAAACTAGTTTTTATAATTTTTGTTATGAAATAAAATCTCCTCATAAAAATCCATGCGCTATTCGGAAGTGGATTATAATAAACTGCATGTTCCTCCATTTATAAAGTCGCACACTATAGCGGTAATAATATTTAGGTCCAGTAAAAAGAAATCTATTATTTAGGTTTTACGTATCTGTATCTCAGGTTCTGTAAGTGTGTTTGGACCGCTAGATGGCGTTATAAAGATGACATTTTGTGCTTATAAAGATATTTAGTAGGAGGTATGGAAGACCTGTTGTCGAAAATGACAATAAAAAAAGAAAAACAATTTGGAAAATGGCTGGATACACAAAGAAGCTCGATGTTTGGGCGCCATATGAATTAATGAGAAAAACCCTCATAAACCAAATTTCCATCACCGAATCGCTGCTGAATCGTAAGGAAGTCCACCCATGACCAAGCTCTTATATCTGGCCTGTTCAGTCATCAATCGGACCATCTAAAGAAAACAGTTGTCTAAAAGCTGCCAGTCTTGGCTAGCAAGAGGGGAATAGTGTTTCAACAGAACAACGCCAGGCTACACAGATCGATAGTGACCCAACAGAAGCTCCGAGAATTTTTTCTTACGCATTCAGCTTACAGTCCTAACTTCGTTATGAAAATCGATAGCATCAAGTTTTTGCCAAAGGGACAAGGGTTTCCAGCCTCTAGAGAGGCATAATGACATTATCTTCAGAATCGCAAGACGTTATAGAGCAAACTATGGTAAATAAAGCCTTCAGTCGCAGTAGACTCAGCCTGCTCAAAGTAGTCGGCACAAAGTTAGGGCGTACGTCATCTTTTTATCGTCACTGTAACTAAAGTCTACTATCACTCAGGACTATAATTATGGCCCAGCCTACTTAACATCCATATTTCGAATAAACAAAGATATACGAACATTTCAGTCATCGCTATAAATCGTTATATTTGAACCCAAATTATTTCTATTAAACATGATTGCCCTTAATGGGAAAAAATGTGGCCTCAATATAGTACAATTATTGCCAAAATGGAAGCTCCATTGGAATTGGCGCCAGCAGTTGAAATAGCGGTATGACAAACAGCTGTTGCCAACAACTACAAATATGAATGACATCTCATATGGGGAAATATTGCGTGATCTAAACTTTGATTACATACGAGTACACGCATACATATGTATGTAACTATTAGAGCATTGATATGAAATATTCATAAAGCTGCTGCAGTTATGTGATATAAAGATTACATTTAAATACACACATACATACATACTCATTCATACGTTCAAAGAATGTCGATACGACATCATAAAACCATTATGACATGCGGCGCCCTATTGAGCAGGAATTACTTGTCTTATCGAATGTCTTATTTTTTTAGCGAACATGTATGTAAGTATATGTGCATATCAATGTGGAAATGATAAAAATGTGTATGCAGTGTGTCTTTATCTCATGAAAAAAATATTTTGAAGCAGCTTGCAACAAGAAAATATTTAAAATAAATTATAACGGATATAAGTCCATTCAGTAAGTTCGTTCTTATTAAATAAACATTCCAGAGAATTCCTCGTGAGCACATAGTTATACACAACAAAAAATTGGTTTGACCTAAATTTGAGGTTATAACGGGCGATCCGAGTAGAGGCTTTTTTCAATAGCCTTCTTTTGACAGTTCATGCGAGAGTAGTCTCCAGCTGTCATATCAGTATGTTCAGTATTGTTAGGCATTTCATCGTGAATAGACTTACGGCTGAACAATGTCTTCAAATGGTTCAACTTCGTTTTGTGCTTAAATACCCGCTCAGTCTCTATTCGACTTTTCATAGATATACTCGCCGCACTCATCCTTCCCTTTCAATCCGAAGATTCCTTATAGGCAATTTAAGAATATTAAGTTGAAGTCGCGAAAGCGCAGGTCATCTTGAGGCTCAGCATTCATTATTGGATATTATTCGACCAAATATACCACGTACAGCACGCACGGAAGAAAAAATAGCGGTGGTAGTAGAAAGTGCTCACGAAGACCGTGGAGAGTCGACTCATTAGTTCATATATTTCTTCAAAAATGATGCCGGTGAGAAAAGAACAGTCAATGATGAACGTTATCGCGGCTGTTTCATGCCTGAAATTAAAGCTCGTGATCTCGGTGATTTTTGGTTTCAACAAGACTGCACCACATCTCACACATCGCTTCAATCAATTTATTGAGAGAACACTTTGATGAGCAGATAATTTCATGTTTTGGGGCGGTCAATTGGTGTGTGATATCACATTGTTATACCTTTTTTTGCGGGGATATCGAAAGTCTGAATTCTATCTGGACATTCCCGCATTCATTCAGATCTTGGAGCAAAACAATACGCATGTCATTCGCCAGTTACCAGTCGAAACGCTCGAATGAGTCATCGAAAATTGGACTCAACTCAATGGATGGACTCTCTGAGACGTAGATGCGGAGAACATTTGAAAGAGATAATCCTTAGAAATAAATGCCAAAGAGTGTCCTTTCGAATGATAGTAAACAGTCCCCATTAAATTTGAATTTTCTGTGTTTTTTTCTTTAAAAAAGTGGGGAATCTTGAAATGGATCATACTAGGCCAAGTCGCTTCATATTTAGAATCAAATATATCAACTGAAGCTTACTTTTATATCAAGTGAAAAAGTCTTAAATGAATGAACGTACATATAATAATATGTCGTTGGAAGATCGGTAGTGAGACGATACCCAATGAAGGTAAATAAAGAAGAGTATTCGGATTCCTCCGTGCGGCATGACTACAGATACATAACTCTTTCGTATTTCTCTATTTCTTCTTTTATAACCGTGATAATGAGGATCATATCAGTAATTGCTTCTTTTTGTAGTCTGATCCAAATTGAACTCAAACATTTCTTCGAGTTGAGTTTAGTTTTCCAATTCGAGTACTCGCACTACTTCGAACGATGACAGCGTCCGTACTGCCACAAAAACTCAGTGATATACTATCTGGCATGGCTCTATCTTTGTGTAAGAATAAAATATGACACCTAATATGATTTCGGATTTGTCTGAGGCACGGTCGTCGAACGGTGGCATTTTCCTTGAAATATATAGATAGTCGTATTCCTTCCTTGAAAGCGAGCTGAAGAACTTCAACACGGGTTTTTCAGAAGGGGAGTGGGCTTTGCAGAAGGAAAGTAATAACTCGACTAACTATGGATGAAGTTTAGGTATAATCAAGAGTTGATTTAAAAGCCTCAGATATCCCATTTTTTGAAAAGGTTGCCTCCAATGTAAGTGGCATTCACAAATGAAGTGTCTTAAGGTTTCAGGTTTTTTTTTTCTTCTCTACAACTTCTGCCGAAATCTTTAGATGGTACGCACAATCTCTATGCGTACCTGCCCAATAGGATATGTCTTGTAATAAGATCTAAAATTGTAGACATCTCCTTTCTTTTTAACTCGATGAGGTCACGAGACCTTCTTCTTTTCCATTATGGCCTCAATGTCTTGACCACATAACATGCATTGAGGCTTCTTCACCTATAATACATGAATTTGGAATCTAATCGTATGGATCATGGAGCTACGCTAAATAACCCGAAGCACTACCAAGATACGACGTACGTCATTTCGTAAAAGAAAGCTTAATATTCTTCTGAGATATCATCTCTGCCAGCCAGTTGGAATCAGCAAAGAGGAGAGCAGTATTTCCGCTTTACTACTGTCCCGATACTCTCAGCTCCAGCCTTAACAAGCCAAAACAGCTGGCTTAGGTGCGGACTTTCAACTGTCTTATCCGACGGTTTTCGGCCAGTACTGTTTACTTCCCCAGCAGGGGTTCCATTGAAAATACTCTAAATATCGAGAAAGAACTTATAACTCACTTGCCTCCCAACGTTGAGTAAGTCCGCCTCAACAGGGCTGCCGAAGCTTAGTTCCACAAAGGATTCAATCAGAATTGGAAAGATGTAATCATTTATTTCAATTCGCCAAATATCAGTTGATAACAACAAAAAACATACAAATATATTATACGTCCTTAACTGCATTGCTTACGCAGATGTTGCATCTGTTGGCGTCAACACAATGCTGCTGCTCCGCTGATGATAATGCTTGCGGAAGAACTTAGGTAAATTCGCATATGACGAGCCAAGTCTACCTTCGGTAATACTTTTAATATCCCTCATTGGCGGATGGACTTGCAGTGATTTTCTTTGTCGAGTTATTGTGAACTCACCCGTACAGAATATTTTTCGTTTCGTGGCAAAGTCCATTTCATCGCTTAAACTTGAATCACTAAAATCGCGTGGTAATGCTGAATCAATGCTGTTCTTCATCTCTTCTCGCATAGCAGGTGTCCGCTTTCCGGTGTAATGAGGTAGAGACGAACGTCGTGGAAAGGGTGTTGATGCCTGTTTAATCTGTATGTAGCCATAGTCCTTCTTCAGGGGTTTATATGTCAATGCAATATTGTTTTGATCGAAATGTGTGCGTCTCTGCAGTGAAAATTCCGAAGTAGAAGATCCCGCATAAGATTGTCTGGAAATTAAAGACAATGTAGACTTTCTTTTCATCGATGAACGCAATGGATTTCTGGCTCTGTAGGGGAACCCTTCCATGCTGGTGGTGGGGCTTGCGAATTTCAGCATTGCTATTGATTTTAATTATAGTATGAGTAATGTAAGGGGACAACGATCCTTTGGTTTCTTCAAAAGTAATTGTAAAAATATGCACGTAAGAAAATAAATTTTTTTCTGTACGTCTTTGGTGACTCCAAAGCGCAAACTAACTACATTTTAAAATTTTTTAAATCAAACAAGTCGGATTGAGAAATTATTTCGGTTTTTAAGAGGTTCAATTGATTAAGCGTGGAGTCCGGAGGACGCTTGCGCAAAAGTTCCACTTAAGCCTAATTATGATCTTCAATGTATTCTCGTGCTGTATTCACTATTAATTCGATGGACTGAGTTTTAGTCTCTTCCACTACAACCGCCCTCCACGTTAGAGCTCTTTATTCTATTAACGTCAGAGCCATGTGGAGGTCTAGTCTCTATCATTGAGAGTTTAGGTTGAGTTGATTGATTGCTGAGAGTGGCTATGGAGTACTTCTTACCGTCTCAGATCTACGAACCATCCCATTCTCCCATCTTGAAGTCCCATTAAACAACGTCTAGTTAGTATGCCCCTTTGTTAACAGGCCTATGCAGATTAGATCCCTTGATATTTTAACGTCCAGCAAAGGCCAAAGCTGTCTAGACACGTTGCATTATTGATTGATCGGTCTGTAATCAGAGATGCCAGCAACCACCATGGGTCTACCATAGCCAACCCTTTCATCGAGTTTAGAGCCATCAATGAAGATGGCTATGACACTCTGATCCCGGTCATTTGCACTTTCCCATACATTCTTGTCCGCAAGTCTTAAGGAGCTTGGCAAAGCAATAAGGGGAGCTAGCGTAGTCTAACTCCGCTGGAAACTACGCGGAAGGCTATATCCGGGCGTACCCTATAACGCGATGCCACCCACCCACTGACCCACGTCAGCAAGAGAATACAAATATAAAAAGTTGTGCTTGAATATACAAAACTCACGGGTCGAAATCTTTGTCTATAATGAGTACAGCTCGTAAAGATGTTGGTGGTCGTCTTCGCCAACATGTCGACGTTTCTCTGTTCTGAGAACGTATAGTTGACTTCTGGTATACCTGGGAGAGTGCTCCCTCGTGCTTGTGTCTGTTAGTATGATCCCATGTTATTATGCTCCTTAACTAGCAACACGGCCGTCTCACTGCGTCATCCTACAAGCATCTAGTAAATCATGTTGGTGTTGGTGGTTTTCTTTAGGGTTATTATCAGGCTCCTGGCAGTAAAGGAGCAAGTAAGATTGGAAAGATGAATAGTAAGTTTATGTGTTCTGTTTCAAATGGCTTCGTTAATCGTGAATGTGTGGTGGTTTGATGACATTTTCCTCAAAGCGGTTTCGTGCGTTCAAGTATTCCAATGTGTTTTATGGCTCTCAACAGCAAAGCCACTGCAACTTTCCTACGAATATTTGTACCTATATGTGTGCATGCACATTCTTCTTGAAGCTACCACTACACAAAAGAAGAACACAACCAATTTGTTTCCAGCTTCGAAAGAAAACAGGAAGATTTGAAGCTTCTTCTTCTTCCGTCTGGTCTTAATTAGAGCAACTGATTTATTTTCCGTACGCCAATTTACCACAGAAACTTCATCAACAAACTGCGGCATTTCAACCTGCTGCACTTAGCCGCACTTTAGTACTCGTAAATGAGACAATGCACACCCGTACACACATACTCGTACTCCTCCGCATGCATAGATGTACGCGATACATCACCAGCTCTTGCTGCACTCCACAACCAATTGTGGTTATTTGTTTTTCTTTTTGTGAGGCAATCAGCAGCAGACAACTATCTAACCTACAAATACCTAATGTACAACTGCTAATACCTGAAATCCCATAATTACAGATGACTTTAAAATATATTTTGCTGCCATTATTATCACCAAGCTTACGCTCTGCCAATACTATGGAGCTTCTCTGCAATCGATTGCCTCTTATTATGTGATAGGAGTTGAATTAATATGAACACAACAACATACATATATAAAAGCTACATTAGGGATTATGTGGCTAAATGGAATATATTTGTTCCCCGGGATGGTGGAGCTAAGACTTCGGTGAAGTCATCCACCTGGAAAAAGTTGGGGAAGGTGATGATGGCTCATTTTGTGGTTGTTTTAGCGGCTCACTAACCTCGCTGATGAGTAGGTGAGCCTAGTCTAAGACATCGATATTATCTAAAGGGAGGTGCAGGAAGCGAGCTGTTTCCACGCATTAGGACCGACCAGAGCGAAACTTGTGTTAGATCAGATGATTTTGGAATGCATGCAAAGAAATGGTTAGTGTCATGCGGGGTTTCAGTGCATGCCAGCCATACGTTGCGTATATCGCGGTCAAGTCTGGATAAGTAGGAATTAAGTCGAATACAACATCGAGATCTTCATTTTGCCATTTTTATTCGGGTTTTTCGAGCACTTGGTAAGCATTTGCTGAATTGGTACGCATAGCTGTCCAATGGCTCAACTGGAAGCATTCGGTGGGAAGGATTGTAAGCTGCCAAATGGGACTCGATTCTTCAAGCTCATCATTGTCCAGCTAGTGAAAAGGATGGGTGTTTACTTTCAAACATGGATTATCAATATCCTTGCCAGATGCCAATATCGAATGTCGTCATCGGTAAATGGGTTCAAAGAAATTCCTCTTTTGGAGTATGTATCTTCGAAATATAGAAATTACAAAGAAACATGGAAAATACATCACCCTGTGGAACCCTTTTTCCCATTATACGGAGGTTGGAAGTTTGACCGCGAAACTCAACCGATGACTGTCGGCCATTCAGGTAGTTCATAGGTCACCTTTTTCAACCCCAGCGGTAAGGATTAATTTCCAATAGTAGTTCTGAATAGTTAATGGTGTCAAATCCTTTTGAAAGATCCAGTGATACCAGCACAGTTGATGGACGCTCTGTGAATTTTGATATAAGGCCTACCTGTCGCTTTCCCAACAGATGCTGACAATTTACAAGTATCAACACCTGCGGGTTAGGGGCTCAAGAATTTACCCGTGGTAAGGCGTAGAGGCGACTAAATCCAATAGTTCCCGCGACAGTCGGGTCTTTATAACAACAACAACATATACAAGTATCTGATGTATGTAATCCCCATCCTTAGCTGGGAGCATAAGCGCTTTGCTCTAGAAATGCTCAGATATCCCTTCGTTGTCCTCAGTGCGGTGTTTTGGAAAGGTTTTCAAATAAGTTGTCAAATTGTGTTATGGACGCAATACGTCGAATTCGAAGAGCATTTCTCTTATCAATTTGGCGTTGTCTGCTGCTATGACTATTTCAAGGAGGTGGAGAATTCCTTCAAATTTCCCCCGGATTCGATAAGCTTTACCTGTCGAGTTTCTCCTCCAATTTAGACGGAGAGTTCTGATGTTTTTCTAACAAATAGGTGGACCTAGAAGTGGCTCGAAAAGAAACCTCCGAACGGCTGGTGGATTTTCATTTGGATATCGGTCTGTTCAGGACTCATTTACGTTTATCTTAATGGATTAAAACAAGTATTTTCTGTTTTTTTTTTAAGCTTTTAATATGCTCAATTTTAGTTTTATTAGATATTACTATGTGTATATATAAATATATGTACCTAGATGAATATATTCAGAGTAACAGCTGTTAAAAAGTCATTCATAGAGTAGTTCACATTCACGCCGTCATTTGAAAGCCATTGCACAAACCCAGTTGCATTTGCAGATTTTTGTTAATATTAGTTTTCTTATTTATGACTTCTTTTCGATTTGATTAGATTGAGGTACTTCTCTGCTGGTTTTAGGTTTTTTATCGTCATTATGCTTATTATCAGAAGTTCTTACTTTCGGTTTTTCAAATTTGCTACCCTCTTTTTTTATTAAAGCTTTCAATTCATCAGACCAACCTAGCGCCTCAGCCATTTTCCATACTGCATCATCACAATCGCCGATAAAGTTGATATCCCGCTTATTTGTAGGGCTACCAAATTTATCAATACTAGTTCTATTTATAAGCACTCGCAAACAATTGGGCTCAGCATGGCCCACCAAAGAGGCAAAAGGATACACCTCCAACGATGTACCCATAACAATAAGTAGATCACAATTTTTAAAGTCTTCAGCAGGCATATCGTAGAATTTGTCTGGCATACCTTCACCGAAGAAAACAATATCCGGTTTGACAATACCATTGCACGCATCACACAATGGTATGGTATCACTAAAAATTTTTTCCTTCATCCATTCTTTGGAGAATTCCAAACCACATTCAAGACAATGATTGGTGTGAAACGTACCATGTGCTTCGACCATCTTCTCCTCTGGTAAGCCTGCTAGACGTTCTAAGGAGTCAATATTCTGTGTGTAATGACGTACTAATAGATTTTTTTCATTTAAAAGACGAATGAAATAGTGTACTGGAGTGGGACGAAAATTTCCGGGGTACAATTCTTTGGCTAATGCGTAAAACGGCTTCGGGTTTTCGATAAAGTAATCCAATTCAAATATATCGGTTGGATGGGGTAGATTGTATTTCTGCAAATTATCATAGAGTCCCGAACCAGGTGTACGAAAATCCGGTATGCCAGCGGCTGAAATCAATTTTGAAATCATACATTAGTATAATATCTTTCCTAGCTAAAAATAGTGATCAGAAATGAAGTAAGATACTTAGTTTTGGGAAATTTGGTTAGTTAATTTTGGCATAACTAAAATTCTTGAATATTTTACCTAAATTAGTACTAAATTTGAAATTGATGTTATAAGAATAAGAAAGTATGCGGAGTAAAATAATGATTTAAATATTAATAACTTTAGTGTGTGTGTTGAATCCACTTACAAGTTGAAATACCAGCGCCGACCATGGTGACAATTTTTTTAAAACCATTACTTTTCCAGTGACTTAAAAATCCATCGAATGACAAGTCCGGAATAACCTTAGTATTTGAATAAATATAATATTTTTCAATTTAAACGTTTTTGATATAAGTAACTGGAATTTACCTTGCTTGCTGATTGGTCCGGATGTAAGGCCAGTCGGGAGAACAAGTTCGTTAAACTCACCCTTATGGTTTCCAAAACTTCTAAAAATGGATTTACAATCTTTTTAGTCTGTTGAATACTTGAATATTTTTTAGTAACTAAACTATTTAATGAATGAAGATGACATGCATTTCAGCTTACTGTTCTCCAAAAATAAATGTATTTCCTTGTAGTGATCTTAAATTTATTGCATTTTCTGTGGTCTGCTGTTAAATAACCGCTGTAGGTAGGTATATAGAATCTATCTTTCAGGGAAGTTCTATTTGGTTTTAACGAAAGTTAAACTTTCGATTTCGAAAACTCGGAACTTCCGGTTAAATATCATCTTTGACCATACCATTAAAGTCTCTGTTCACGGTAAACATATTTCAGTGAGATTTCTACTATACATCACAGCATTTTATTTTAATATTCTAAAATCCATAACTGCAGAACGAAGAATTAATATCTACAATTACATAGTACAAACAGTCTTTCTAAGGTATGTATATGGTACATAAGTACCTATTAAGCAGAGTTTACTTTAGATACAAACATGTAAACATGTCAGCAGCTTCGTCTGTCAAACTTTAATTACATACGTTTTTAACCCTACTGTACCAGTATGGCGATAATGCGGTTTACTTGGACGTCGCCGCTTTTTGACCAACCCGAATAAAAACCGGTCAGCATGGCATCTCAGACGCAGGGATGTATTTTACAACACCAGAAATCATTAAAATGAATTAATTGGTAATACATCAAACAAAGAGTTGTACAAATATACCAATCTCTTTGTATTATATGCATTAATTCATTTGGATTTTGTTAAAAGAAGAAACAGAACCGTAGTCAGCCGTGCATTACTTACGACTCGCTCTTCTTGTTAATGGAACGCCTACTGGAGCTTGTGTACTTAATTTTGGACGTCTATTACCTTGACTTTCTCTACCTGATGGCCCCGGACTGTCTCGGCCGCTCATCACTGCAAATTTTTGTATATATTTTGATGTACAATTCCTAATAAAACTAAATATTGACTTCTTGTCAAAAGGCGCCGTTTTTGATGAATAAAAATACGTAAACTTTGTTACTTCAACAACATTATAAACACAACACTATTATTGGCAGGCCAACAACACTTATGTCAAAATGTCACCATCTTTCCTATCAGGGTTGCTTGGGTATTAGTAGAAAGTTGCCATATTAACGCAACACAGCCAGCAATGTACGGTGGTTATGAAGAAGATGCAGTAATTTGTTGATAACATTTCTACGTATTTAAAGAATTGAATTATCTTTTTATTTTAACACTCTAGCATCTACCCTTTTGTTAAGCGAAAGAATCAAACATCGATAATACCTGTTTCAATTTATTGTGGCAGCACAGTTTCGTGTATTCACCTCTAAAGCCACGCTATCCGACTGGAAACTGCAACACTGCCAACTGTCATTTTTGTTTTGATAGCTTGACACTGACCAACCCAGCTGGTTTGTTTTCTTTTCCTGAAAAAATTTTCATCCTTGAGCGTGGATTTTCATATAATTACCAATGAAATGTGTAATTTAACATAAATTAAGTGTACTATACAATTATTGGAATAATGTAAAGTGTTTTTTGAGTGTAGTTTTTGTGTTTTTTCCTGTGAATACGAGAAGCTGGAAACGGGTGGCACGTTGCCCATTGCAGACAGCCTAAAATAACAATTGGACGGTGAGAAAAAAAAAAACTACCACAGCGTCCTCTGGTGTTTAATAAATTTTTGTATTCATATTTTGTAGGCATTTTATGAATTTTTAGCTCCCAACGCAGACAATAAATATTTAAACTATCGATTTTCGACGATACCTCATGAAAAATGCACCTCAACCATGCCACTGCAATGGCTAATTACCAGCACTACCCGCCACCGCAGATTTCGACTCATGGCGGCACGCCCACCACGGTGCAGCAGCAGACCACTATAGCGACGGCCAGCACACCATTTACACTGCACCAATTGACCGCTGTACAGGCTATACAACATCCGACACATCAGGCTATGCTACATCCGCAACACCCACTGGTACATCTACTCGATATTTCTACAACAAATACACCGAATCCAACGCCACTGCCTCCAACTAAAGTTGAGGTGCCCGAACCGGAGCCAGTTGAGGTGAAATTGGATGACCCACGCAAAAAGAAGGAATGCCACGTCTGCAAGAATAAATTTCGTCAGTTAACTACTTTGCGTAATCACATGAAAATTCATACCGATGAACGGCCGTACAAGTGTAAACATTGTGATCGAGCTTTTCGTCAGATATCGACGCTCACAAATCATGTGAAAATCCATACTGGCGAAAAGCCATTCACATGCAATATATGCGCGAAAGATTTTCGCCAACAGAGTACACTAATAAACCACATCAAGACACATAAAGGTTAAACAATAAATATCCTATCAACGCTATAATCCCAATTTCAATTTTCTATTGCAGAATCAAGCACACCAACCTCATTACTGAATTATCCTGGTACTAAACTAAACCATCGCAATTCAAAATTGGCTCAAAATCAAATGGTAGACTATCAAAATCGGTCCATTACAAAAACTCTTTATACTGGCAGCTACAGCTCACCACAAGCCGAAGAGTTGGTAAAACCGTATCAGTGTAATGTTTGCAAAAGACGATTCCCACAACTAAGTACACTACACAACCACGAGCGGACACACATCGATCCCAAGCCGTATAAATGTGAGACATGCGACAAGTCCTTCAGTCAACTGGCCACTCTAACCAATCACAAAAAGATCCATACCGGTGATAAGCCATATGCCTGTTCCTTTTGTTCGATGCAGTTTCGACAGCAGAGTACATTAACCAACCACATGAAGACACACACCACAGGTGAGCCTTTTGTGTGTTCGCCGTTCGACTGAGAAATTTTAACTCCAATTTCCCCCTAACAAAGCTTTTATTTAAATTTACACGCTAACAGCCGCCAGCAATGCTAATGCAGTGTCAACCACCACAACCACAATGGCAGCACCACATGGCATCCATCATATGACCGCACCAACACTCATTGCACAAGGAGAACATCCACAACTCAATAATATGGTACATCAACAATTGCAAGCCGAACATCCATTATTGCATTTCCTCGATAGTAACACAACTGTAAGCACCATTGTTCCGAAGGAACCATTCAATCCCAACACCAGTAGACGTTTCAAAAACGAGGCAGATAGTTTAATGCTGGAAAGTCCGGATCGCCCATTTCCATGCGCCATTTGCCGAAAGGCATTCTCCCAACAAAGCACTCTGGCCAATCACATTAAGACGCACACCGGCGAGAAGCCCTACAAGTGCAAAGTATGTGAGTCGAATTTCCGACAGTTGTCCACCTTGAATAATCATTTAAAAATACATACTGGCGAAAAGCCCTACAGCTGTTCCTATTGTCCTAAGCAATTCCGGCAGAAGAGCACTCTTATCAATCATGTCCGAATTCACAATTGTTAAAATGGCCATGCAAATAATAAGAATAGTAAAAAAAAGAAAACTTGAACGAAAAGCATATACCTATAAGAGTCGTGCAGAGAATAACTTTTATTGGTCAAATATAAAATCCCAATTGGAGAATTCTATAATAGCCGATAACTATAACCCATAAAGGAGATGAAAATAGACAGATATACCATACTATCAGCATACAAAAATGTTGATTAAGAGGAAAAATTGCAAAATAAAATGAAAAATAAGAAAACAGCCATTGTGAATTCGGTGTTAAATAACTATAACCAGCTGCTAAGCGTAATAGAGTTACTTACCTGCTGTGCAATATGTATTGTCCATGTAAATTTATTATATACTAAAGAGCTGAGCTTAGAGTAAGCGTGAAGTCGCAATGAGTGCTTTCGCTATAGTTCGTCATTCAATTATGTGGTTGTATTTAAGTAGAATGCAGGGCATATCATAGGCATTTTTCTTTTAATAATTTATTGCAATTATTTTTCTCAGTACAAGAAAACTTTCATAACTTGGTTATGTGCAATACTCCATAAATCCTTGATTTATTTAATTACAAAAAATAATCATGAAGAATTACATAATTGAAAACAAAAAGTATCACATACGATATAGTTTTAATTTTAAATATCGCTACTTGTATCAATACAATTACTTCTCAAGCTCAGTCAACCGCTTGCAAAACAAAAAGAACGCCCATTTAAGAAATAAGCTTAAAATGATTCTTACTCCTCAACGCAATAATTTGACACAAAAAAAAAAAATGATTGGTAAGCTTTGAATACGCAGAGCGTACTTGCCAGTCGCGAAAAAGTTCTTAATCGAAGTTTCTTTGCAATGTTGATGTCGAAATCACAACGACCAAAGGTGATAGTGAAGGTAAGGTGAAGTAAAACTGTTCGCTGCAAGTACAGTTTTAAGGTGTTTGCCAGGTGCAGGCGAATTCAGAAGTGTTGAACTATATTGATGTTATTGATTTCATACATACATATATGTTGAGTTGAATTTCTTACTCATCTCATACGCCAGTGCGAACCAGCTCTTCCGGCAATTTTTTTTAAGACTCAATTACAATTTGCGCTTACTCCTGCAAAGCTCTACTATATACATACACATACAGGGTGTTTTCTTTTGTTTCAAAAAATTCGCTTCTGGTTAGTGCGAATGTTTTTTGAATGACAAAAATAAAAAAACAAATGAAATTAAACTAAATAAAAAAAGGATGGAAAAATACAGTAAATATATTTGACAAGCATAATTGTACTATTACGTATAAAACCAATTATAATGTGCGTAGAACAAAAAACGTTTAATAAAAATTCATGTAGAAATAAAGCGATATTTGTAAGCAGAAAATACTTAAATGACTTTTAATCATTTATTGTACTTAACTGTATTAATTTAAAAAATCAAAACCTTTTTAATCTTCAAAAAGACATTTCCAACTTTATTTTCGAACTATTTACATATGTAACTATATTTACTTAAACATATGTATATGTATATTTACAGGATATTAAGCCAGCTCCTCGCCCTGTTTTCGTACGAAGACTGCATTTTGAAATGGTTTACATTAGACTAAGCTAACGCGTGTAAATTTAAAAGTTTTGAATATTTATCTCACAGATATTCAATCTTCTTTGAATTATAGTTTAAAATTTTTTTTTTTTTTTTTTTTTTGAAATTATATTTGCTTTCATATATATTTCTTTTATTTTGCACAAAAATTGACTAAAATTTAACGAAAAACTCTGATTTTAATTTTATATGCTCATTTATTATTAAAAAGTTCAAAAGTTATTTAAATTTATTAACTAAAACTCTGCAAACAATCTACATTGGCGGACAAAAGACTGCTCACCGCTCTGGAAATAACAATAAATTGTTTTGAATGAAGGTAATTTGACTTTTTTCCCAACACATTCCTATAAAAATAATACGTATTAATATAGATATTTTTGAAAACTATTGGCAATTCAGCAGTCTCAGTTGTGGAAGGCTGCCAAAGCTCGTCTTTTGAAATACCATAAGCAAAGCTAACCAAGGAAAACTGTTGTATTAAAAAAATGAATAAAAAAGTTAATTCCTATAAAAGTCAAGGATACATCTGATTAGCATAACACACTGGAGGGAAAACTTAATTTAAAAAGAGGCTCAGTGGTATACAACCGACAAAATAAAATCCTGCGTTTAGCTAATCTATAATAATAATATATAATAAACTATAGATCTATGCTGAGAAGTATTATATTTTCGTCTCTTTGTTTGTATTGAATTGTAAACGCAGATAATCTTGAACTGCGTTTTTTATGGCTTAGATATTAAAGAAGCACTTATAATAACGGTAATTTTCATCGGATGTCTTCGAAATGGCATTGGATTTGATTTGAATTTCTTTGATCTTCAAGTTCATTGAATATAATAACCAAGTGACACCTTTTAAGACAAGTGTACGTGCTAAGTCTTCAAATGTAACTCAGCCAAAGGGCATGCAAATTGGAAAGAAAGCTCAACCGAGAGCTGGGAACACTATACACGACGCAAAAATACCACATCTTCCTGGGATGTCGTCGAATTGCCGCCTTATTTAAACAAAAATGAAACAATAAATAAGTAAGTAATAACAAACTATAAAAGCACCAAAGCATATCTGATATACAAAACAAGTAAAAATTCAGAAGTGGCATAGAAAGTTTTAAATGACGTAGAAACGCGAAAAATTCAAAATTCCACCAACCTACTAGTGACAATTTTAAAGTCTGCATAACAGAATCATAAGGAATACATATGGTGCTCTTTGCAAACATATATATACACATATATAACAGGCGTAGGAAAAAGTAATCCATTATTTTTATATAAATTTTAATGGTTCCAATTTTTCTATGCGTATCCAGCCAATCTTTAGCTCTTGGATCATCGGAGTCGACAATGTCAGTGCTTTTATCGACAATTTGTCGAAGCATTCCACTCGTCGAAGCATCTTTTACATCAAAATTACCGGAATAAAATGAAATTGCGCATGATTTACTGTAAAAGTATCAGAACCATAAACGCTATTCACATTTTCAGCCGCCTGGGCTGCGTTGGCACGAAATGCGATCTTTCTAACGCCATCTAGCTGAGCCGACAGGCAAATAAAGTCTTCTATTTGAAAAAAAAAAATGGATCTCTCTCTACTACAACTATTATATTGTTATTTTTGGTTATCTGGACTGTTACAAGAAAACCAACATTGTATGAATATAAGTGATAAATACGATGTATATGTACACTTTACTGCCACCTTATCCGAGTGGTTAGCACTGCGTAGTGCAGAGTCACGGACATGATTAGTTTTCTGAGTGCTGTCGCTCCTCGGCATGGATTGCCATCCCTCCAAGTTCCTTGTAAAAAAGAAGGATTATAATAAACTGTAGAACATTCCATTCGATATAGAAAATCAAAACGAGCGCTACAAATTGGAGATAGCTTGACTGAAACAATTAAGGGTTAATGGAAATATAAAGGGTTTTTTTCGAACGCATCGCACAACAACGTTTTAATATCTTAAGAGCATAGTATTCACCCGCAGACTACACAGATATAATACCTTCAAAGAAACACAACAAAAAGTAATGTATAGAGTTTCGTTTATTTGGACTTGAAATGTTAACAGCATTTTGTGTATGTACTTATTTAGGTATTCATCATTGTTTCTTTTTGTTTTTTATTATTCTGTTTTAGCGTACAATTTAGCTCATTTATGTCTATCGACTTAATGGTGGCTTCAAAGCGAATTTTAGTGTTTATTCCTGTCATGTGCATTTACTTTTTAAGTGTTGAAAAAAGTTTCTTAAAAGTTTATAATTTTCAAAATTACAGTGCATTGTGTGGGTGTAGCCCAAAGAAACAGGCACAGAGAGAGAGTGTGTGTGTGTGTGTTGTGTTTTACTAAATTTAATTATTTATCGATGCTTCTTTGTAGTGCGTTAACCGGAACAATATTTTATAATATAATATTTAACTGTTATTTAAAAATTTAAATGTCTTCTAATTTCGTTGATACAAATCACGACACAATACATAGAAAAATGTTACATATGAGTTAATTATATAATAAGCATCGGAAAATCGTTAAAGAATATTTTTTATTTCACACAAATTCAGCGCTTTTTCTCCATAAATCTTAATTTTATTTATTTTTATAATTACGAAATAAAAAATACATACATATATTTAGCTATATAGTTGTTGTATATGTAGAGGAATCAAATTTGTAAGCTCTCATAAATATCTTATATAAATTGTCTATATAAGGAAACTAAATTTCTTAGGCATTTTACAGTAATAATAATATGTAGCTCAGAGGCGAACTCGGACATTGAATATGCAATAATTTCTCTCTTTGTGTTTTTATTTTTTGCGAATTGAATGGAGGGACAATAAGGAAAAAATCACGCTTCTTTGTTTATTTATACGCAAGGTGTTCCAGTGAAAACTTATTTGTACATATAATTAATAGAGCAAATATCGCGGCGCATTTGGCAAAAAATGTTTACTCAATTAATACATTCTTCAGTATTGAGGAAAAATGTTGCATTAGTGACCGAGTTCAACGCACTCTTTACTTGTAATTCTTAACTTCTCCCAAGTTTTCAGCAACTTTCTTCATGAATTAGCTATGCAGAGAGTAAAGTAATATATCAAGACATATTGGCCAACATATCTTTTTAGACTTTCACATACCAATACACAATAACTGTATGCAAATACAATGGTTAACAGTGTGAAAGATCATTTAGAGTGTTGCATTTCTTTCTTGTCATGTTTACAACGAAAATAAGAAAATATATAGGAATAAGTTAAATAATAATTGCTTATATTAATTAAATTGAGGTAATACTATATAGTACATATTATGCTAAAACCGATATTAAAGTTGGAGAAATAATATGGATGCTATGAAACCGTAATTTTAAGCAATACGGTTTAAGGGTACTCTATAGGCTTTTATTTACTCGTTTAATCCACAAAAACAACTCCGAAATTCGAACGTCATATGGGATACCTATTCGATTTAAGTTTTCATTCATACATTACGCCATTTTTTCGCCGGCATCCATTTTACTTGAACATCCATTTCATAACAAAGCACGCGGCCAAACCAACGAATGCATAGACCATTGATTTTATAACCACCGTTTGGGGAACAGTACGCGGCACCATATCTGAAAATCGTCCGCTGGGGGGCACCATTAGCCTTGGATTGTAGTGAAGTCTATCCAAATTGGTTTGAATCAAACGTAATTGCTTAGTTTGCTCCTCGAGTGTATGATTCATTTTTTCTATGGCCGTTGCTAGTCTGTAAGAATAAAAAAATTGAAGAAAAAAAAAATTCAATTTAAGGTAGGAATATATTTTCGAATAATTTTGTGTATATTGTATATATCTCATAAGTACTTATATTACACCCACCTTCGTATTGTTTTACCCGGTGTTTGATGTGGTGTTTTCCCAGCATCCGGATTAGAACTCGACTCGGATTTATCATCATCATGTGTGAGACCCAAAATCGATAGACTTTTATGTTTAACCTTCAATAGAGAAGATGATTTAATTAACTGCATTGGATCGGCAGTTACGATGCTCGGATTACGCACCATTGGCGCACGATGGCGTGTCTTTGTGAGCACTTTATACTTTGCTTCGTATTGCCTAACATCGTTGCGTTGATCCCAGGGACGCAAATCGGCATATCTATACTCCCACTATTGGAAGATAAAAACAAATGGAAAATTAATGAAATTCAGTTCAACGCAGTGTGGATCGTAAATTTGTTCAATCGCTACAACGAGTAGTTTAAGTTACGATTACATTAAAATCATAATAAAAACAGTAATGCTTGAAGCTTCACTTATACCTTTTATGAAGAGGGTTTTTTTTTTTCAAAAGTAATACTCAACTTCGCTTAGATCGAGTTACAACAGGAAGCACATAACTGAACAATTAGTTCTATTGGAAATATGTGGTGTGTTTGACTGATTCGATTACTTTCAAGTTGGAAGTGCTGCGCCAGCGTAGATGTTAAGGAAATTCAAATCTTTAACTGCTGGAGTGTAGAAACGGAAATTGGAGCAATCAAATATACTCTTAACGGTAACGACAACTAACTCTTCTAAAAAAATCTCTCTACTATAAATTTTGTTCGATAACTCAAATACTACGTAGTCATTTCGAATATTTCGTGTTCAAATTTGTCGATACACATACGAGGTGTGTTCAAAAAATATCGCGAATTTTGTATTTTTTCAAAAATTATATATTTAATAATGAATATCTATTCAATGTAATCCCCGTGAGATATTATACGCTTGTGCCAACGGTTTTTCCAATCTTCGAAGCACTTCAAAAAATCATTTTTTTTATCTTGTTTAGCTTCTCCTTCGATGCCCTATTTATCTCGTCAATCGTAGCGTAACGTCGTCCTTTCATGGGCCTCTTCAGTTTAGGGAACAAGAAAGTCACAGGGGGCCAGATCTGGGGAATACGGTGGCTGCGGCATCATTAGTGTGTTGTTTTTGCCCAAAAAGTCGCGCACAAGCAACGATGAGTGAGCAGGGGCGTTATAGTGCGTATAACTTGCATTAATATTCGATTATACGTATCCCGCGAATATTCAAAATTCGCGATACTTTTTGAACACACCTCGTATGTATTTAGTGTATACATATATATCTCTTCACTTTTTTCTAATATTCATTCATAAAAGGTATACATTTAATTTAGATAATTTATAATTAAGACATAATTAAAAATATTTATTAATTTTAGTTTATAAACTTGGAGTATTTACGGAATAATAACGAAAATCTACAAAGAAAAAATTATAGCTCGAACGAAATACAGCGAAAAAGCATAAGAAAATCTAGAAAAAAAATATTTAAACAAGGTAATAAATATCGAACTTAAGATTAATGCTAAAATTTTCAGCTTTATAATATTAATAAACAAATATTAAAAGCGTTTACTTTGAAACAGTCACATTTTCGAATTTACTTTAAACACATAACACGCAAAATAGAAAGTAAAACTCAAACCCTTTGCCTTTGTAGTATTAAAACAGTTATAATTTAGACATATTTAATAAAATTATTTTTGCCTTTTACCAATATGATACTCATTTAAATTTTTTTTTTACCAAAAATAATACACGAGACTCGTCATTTCAAAGTCGACTTAACTTCATGTCACCCCGAAATGCTGATGTTACGTTCTTGTAACGTTTTGGCAATCGTTTGAGACTAAGCTGGCAGAAGAGCGCAAGATGATTAAGTATGCATAAATAATTTTAGTGTTTTTTAAAACAAATTCAACCAATAAAGCACTCTTTCAATACTTGCGTTTCGGCGTAAAAGACAATACCGACCATTACATAATTTTCTTTTTCGAAAATTAAATTATATTATTACATAGTAAAATAAATGCAGTGAAGTAAAATTCGTAATTGAAACTCCCATTCAATTTTTTGTAAACTCAATAAATTAGTAAAATTTAGCAAACTCACCTGCGCCACAATCGGATCATAATTGAAGTGCACTGGTATCCAATCGGTGAACGACGCTTTGCGATCCTTTGCTGCATTACGTTGCGCTTCCTCCAAAACGGTCTTCTCTTCGGTAGCACCAACTTGGTCATCACTTCGTATCGCTAGCGACACCTTCTCCCACAAACGCTCCGATTCGTTTGGCAATTGCGCATCGAGCGGCACAACATAGCGTACCAAGCGTTTTTGTTTTGTTTCGGGATCTGCCTTAAAGAGTATTGTCTCTTCGCCAGTTTTAGCTTCTTTGATTGTCATTTCAGTATCCCAGTGACCATTTATAGTGGCCATGGTTTCTTTACCCAATTTAATTTTACCCGATATTAAATTTGTATAATCGGAGCCGCCTAGGAATGGTTTCAGCTTAAATTCCAGTTCCGTCTTGTAACCGGTGTTCTCGCACTCAATGTTAACTTTACCACCCAACTCCATGGACAGTGTACCGACGAGTATGCCCTTGCAGTGGGCATATGGCGTATTTAATGTGTATTTTTCACCACGTGGTAGCAGCGTGAGTGTGGCAACACCTTCCAGTACGGCAGAGGTGCTGTTGCCATAGAACTTCGATTTAGCCAAGATGGAGCAACTGATGCAGAAACCATCCTGGCGATTTGTTACGTAAAATGCCGATACCGGTGGATGATGGGACACCTGTTCGGCAATATAGAAAGTACGGCTACCATTCGGATGCTCCCAATAGCAACGGAACGTTTCACCCAATATGGGATTATAGGGCTTTTTTAGACCTTTCGGTTTTTTATAGAAACCAGATAAATACCATTGAACGACGGTTTTCATGCGCGTAAATGGATCGTCTTCGGTGACTGCCCTACAAGTGAAAAATTACAAAAAAAAAAAAAAATTACTTACAAAAGAAGATTTTCCCTTGCAGCAACGCTTACCTCGACAAGAGATCGGCATGGTAATACGAATCTGATAATTTATCCAGAAATGAGCGTGGCTCGAGTATGAATGTCGGCAAAACCACTTTACTCAAATCCATGCCTGGACGCACTTGCTTAACCAAAATCCAAATTAAACTTTTATTCTCCTCTGCAAGCTCTTCCACCTGCTCGCCGACCTGAAATTATTAAAATGAGAAAAAAATATGTATGTACATTAGATTTGCGAAGGAATTGTAAATAATAAATACCAACTTACAGAGCCAAACTCTTCTTCGGTCAGTGGCACATATGGTGTTTCCGGCTCTTCTTCAACCACAGCTTCTGGTTCTGACTCGGATTCTGTATCAACGCCAGACATAGCAGCTGGACCGCCTTCATTTTGACTATCGCCATCAAGATCTATGAGAGGAGATAAAATCAAGAAATTTAGTACCGATACATGAAGCGATCAGGATTTTAGTGCTTACTGAATAATAAGGGCGGCCACATTCTACAATGAGTTTAATTTCAATGTATTGTATGTATGTACACTTTTAAAAAGAATAAATATTTTCAACTTCAAAAGAATATTCAAATGATTTATTTTGCTTAATGACAAATGAATAGTTGAAGAAATATCTTTGTAACACTCTTAAACAGTGAAGGCGAATATGGAGATGAAAGATAACCTCCCCTGCGCGTTAGGGGTTCAAGAATTTACCCGCGGTTAGGCATGGCTGTTGTAAGAGGCGACTAAAGTCCAAGAGTTACCGCGTCAGTCAGGTTTTTATACCGGAACGACCAGGATTTTTATCCGGCCAAGGACTGTCACTCCCGCAATGTCCCCCAAAAATTACTGTGAGGAATATTTTTGCGGTTACAACAACAACAACATGAAAGTGATCACTTAGCAATAGCTTTATTAACAACATAATAAGGAAGACCTAACACTGGCACTATTTACTGGGAAATCTTTTGTATCAACCTCGAATATCTATAGCAATACCTAACCAATAAAAATTAGGTCAGACTTGAAGCACGAATTTGCCTTCATAAAAACTCAAGTATATTCAATAAGCTCGGCTTTCGCTTCAACGTAAATTTAAATTTTTATTGTTTTTTTTCCGAAAACCTATTCGAATATTTAATACTTGTACATACATTTCTTGCTTTTGAGTCGTACGTACAGATCTATAGTCCATATGAGAACATGAGTGGTAAGGTGCGTATATCTTCCAGATAGCCAACATAGGTTTACATTATATTATGGAATATCTAAATGAAAATACTGTGAAGAAATGTATTTTTACAGTTGACTGAGCATTAATTAGCATACTTATGTATGAAATTTGATGAAGCAAATGATTGGGCATTCGCAAAAAAACGTTATGATAGCCGCTATATTTATCATAAATTATTTACTGTCTCTACTCATTTCAGAAGTACTCAAATTTGCGCCCAACTAGCAACGAAAAGTGCAGTTAATGCATTTAATATCGAACTAATGTAACGGTAAAATATATTATTGGTCAAACCCTTGACGTTGAGCACAAATGGTGGTGCACTCAGCGCACGCGAAGCGATTGCTCTTGCCTGCAGCTCTGTAGATTCTTCTACGGAATCACCAGATGACGATGTCTCAACGTGCGATAACGGACCTAATGAAGCAGATTTCATGAATTGATTTTGTCGACGCGCCTTCAATTTCAACGATTGATGTGTTTCCAGTGTGTGAGCTGGAAAGTCAATACTTGAAACATCACTAAGATCACCCAATGAACTCATGCCCTCGAATGAGTCACGTTTGCCTAAATGTCTTGCTTTACGAAGTCTGCGTAAATTTTTCTCTGCTGAATTGGCAACAATACGTTCAAAATTTGTCATTGTAGAGTAGAGTTGTTGGAAGATTGGTGTCTGTGTACGGGATGGTAGGCTTGTGTCGGAACTAGCGTGTGATTTGCTCAATTCAGGCACCATTAGATATTGGGTGAAGCGTTTTTGTAGTAAACTGCCACTCGGTGAGAAGCCCTCAATGTTTGGATCTTCTTTTGATTTTTTTTGGTTCAATGAAGAGAACTCATTGGATAAAAAGGTTAATTTTCAAAAAAAAAAATAATAATAAAATAAAATAAAATAAAATTATTATGCAACAAATTGCTTTCGATTAACCGCCTAAATTTGTTGCACATTCTATTTGGACAATTTTTTCCCATGCATACATAACAATTACTCACCATGTTCGTTGAAATGCTTCTCGTAATCCGCCTCTGACCACTGCGTCTCGTGTGATATTTGCGCACTGTCATTGGCGCTGGTACCCTGCACTGCGCCCATACTACTGTTCGAGCGCAGGAGTAATGCTGAACAGCGCAAGGAGAGCTCCAGTGCATCCATCCAACATTTACCAGCCGCCTGACTGGGTGCACGGAATATCAGGTAAGCGGTTGGTAAGGGTTGAACGACTGCGCCTATAAGAGAAATAAATAATAAATATTGTAGCATATTTAATTTTTAAATTTTTTTATTTTCAGTTTACATAATTTTATTTTCTTTTATATTGTTTTATTTTAATCTTTTCTCTTATTTTTTACTTTGTTTACGATATATTTGTTTCACTTTACTTTTATTTTTTTATGATATTTTCTTTAAAATATTCTATTTTATTTTCTGTATATCGTTTTATACTTTATTTTAGATATTATTTTATCTTATTTTATGGTTTTATATTAAATTTATTGTGTTTTACTATGGTTTGTAAGTTTTTTTATTTTTCATTTCTATTTTTATTTTTATTATAGAAATTAAAAACTCCTTTTTTAGTTATTTTTTTCATTTAGAATAATTTTTTTTTTTTAATTTTTAATTATTATTTTTTTTTATTTATTAAATTTTTTATTTCGACCTAATATATTTTATTTTAATTTCTTTTTTTAAAATTTCATTATCTTAATTTTTTTACTTTTATTTTTTACTCTTTTTATTTTGTTTTCCTTTTTTTATTGTGTACTTATATCTTTATTTTATTTTCTTTAATTTAATTTCAAGTAATTTTTTAATATTTTTGTTTTTTACTTTACATATTTTTTTAAAATGTATTATTTTTTATTTTGTAATTTTTTATATTATTATATTTTTATTTTTAACAAATATTTTTTTTTTTTTATATTCTTTATCTTTTATATTTTTTTTTAATTTTTTTATATTTTTTTTTTATATTTTTATTTTATTTTTTATTTTTTTATATTTGTATTTTTTTTTATTTTTTATATCTTTATTTTTTTTACATTTTTTTTAATATTATTTATTTTGTTATTTTTTTTTTATTTTTTATATTTTTTTATATTTTTAATTTTTTTATATTTTTTATTTTTTTATATTTTTTATTTTTTTATATTTTTTATTTTTTGTATTTTTGATTTTTTATATTTTTTAAATTTTTTATATTTTTTATATTTTTTATTTTTTATATTTTTTATTTTTTATATTTTTTATTTTTTTTATTTTTATTTTTTTATATTTTTTATTTTCATTTTATATTTTTTATTTTCATTTTATAATTTTGTTTTTTTTTTACCTCCTTTTATTTTTTTATCGATTTTTTTCGATCTTATTTATTATTCGATTTTATTTATATACTAGCTGTACCCTGACACGCTTCGCTGTCGCTTTTACTAATTGAACGTATGAAAAATTAAGTATGGGATATCTTTTTTTTATAACTTTATTTACTCAATAATTGTGGGTATACAAGATTTTTGGTTTTACCATTGAATCAAAGCAAAAAACCTATGTATCGAATTTCAAGTGAATCGAGTCATTAATAAGTTTTTCCGAATCGGTCAGACCCTGGTCCATTTGAATTTTTTTCGGCATAAACCTACCCAGTAACCATAGAAACAATCTGACGAAATTTCAAAACTATCGGTCGGACTACTTGATGTAATGTTAAATGAAGAACCGCTCGATCGATTTTGTGTAAACTTTATATTTATAAACCATCTACTGAACATTCCGAAAAGTAGCATTAATTTCTATACATAGAGAATTTTATTCGATTTTATTTTATTTAATTTTTAACTATTTAGTTTGTTAATTTTTATTTATTTTTATATTTTTTTTTTATATTTTAATTGCATTTTATTAATTTTTGTTTTTACTTTTTAAACTTTTCTATCTCTTTTTATTGTTTTATATTTTTTTTATTCTATTTATTTTCAATTCTTTTTATTTTATTTTAAGCCTGAAAGTCCGTAAATTTATACAGAAATAAATTGATTCAGTTCAAAAAACTGTTCCCAAAAGGCGAATTATAGCACTTTTATTAATCTGACCTATAGTCTCCTTCTCTGGTCCGCGTGGCGCCCATATCGACTGTTCCAATGGATGGAAAAGCTTGAAACAGAATCCATCTTTCTTACTCGGCCGTTCGATGACTTGACATGATGTCAGCATAATTGTGCCAACCCAATGGCTGCTCTTCAATTTGGGTGTCTTGTAGAGCAACATCATGCCAGGTTTGAGTACACACCATAGTTTTGTCCATGACTTTAGTGTACCGCGTACCTAACAATGAAAAAAAATTGGAATATATTAATTACTACTTTAACAGAATTGAATTAAAATTAAGGTTATTTTATAAAATAAATTCGTCATAAAAACAACAATAAGAACAGTGCGAGCACAGTGTGTGACATTTTCACATACAATTTTTTTTGACCTTGCTGCCACTTGGATTTTATCCCTTTTGGTGTATTTCATTTCGTAAATATTTCTGTCTGAAGTTATATGGGCAAAAAATCGAGTTTGCACTCATAGTCACCACAAACTCAAAGCTCAGAAAAGAAATTATCTTACTAATACCCAAATATTAAGGTGCAAATAAAAAATTTCAAAGGCAAGGTCTGTGAAATATAGCAGGTAATAAGGAAGGCGGGTCATAAAATCAATGAACAATGAAAGGTATTAAAATTCTTAAGCAATTATTACTTTCATATCTTCGTTCTTATTTTGGAACATATAGACAAACAAGCAAAAGGCACACACAGATTAACGTAGTTATTTGATATATGTACATATAAAGCTACGATATTCGAATATTTATCGGTTGCCTTTCAATATCTTTTATATAAAAAATAAATAAAACATAAACAAAGTAAAGACTCTTTTATTTCAGAAAACAATTTTACTTGAATAAATATCCGAGGTTTTTATTAATTATTCATAAAATATGTTTTAAAAAAGTAATAAACCCCAACACAGTAGGGTTTGGAAATAAGAATCATTTTTGGTTTTGATTTTCATATTTAAGTTTACCGAAGTTAAGATTTTATTACAATTCTTTAATTTTATGGAAAATTATTCATGTACAAAAGAAAAAAGTTACTCATCCGCAATGTCATTTTTTTTTTGGAAGTTTTCATTTTAATTTTTGGTTTTTTTTTTACAATTTATCTATTATCAATATTTTTTAATTAATTTGTTTTATATTTGTTATATTTCATTTAATTTTTTTGTATTGTTTTCATTATGAAATTTTAATATTTTTTTCTATTTTTCATTATTTATTTTATATGCAGGGTTTTCCAAAGAAAATTAGCATCTTTAGCGATAAATGATCGGAATTGTATTACATTGGAAAGAGAAAGATATGCCATTAAAAGTAGACTTACGGTATCGTATCCCTTTTAAGAAATTTTTCATCACAAAAAAAATCGCAAAGTGGCTGCTTTACGCGCTCAATAGCTTCACGATTTCCATATTATAGGTTTTGAATCGAACTTGGTCTGACGTAGCCATCGAGCTGGAAATGGGCATCGTCAGTCAAGAAAATGAAAGTTCGATGAAATTCCGTATTATTTTCAGTTTGTTGATGATCAACTAGCTAGAGTTTTTGTGTGAACCGATCTTCATTAGCCTTAAGACTTAAGTCTTTATGCTAAATACAACGTTTTTGAAATTTTGACTGTGGCGTTTGGCGAGTCTACTGTGAACAGAACCCAAGTTCAATTGTGGTATAACCGGTTTAAGAAAGACAGAGAAGTTGTCAATAAAAATGCTCGTCCTTGTTGCCCGAGCACGTCAACAACCGATGAAAACATTGAAGAGGGATATGGATGATTGTGTTTGAGTTTTTGGTCAAAAAAAAAAAGCCTCAACCTTCCTATTGACCGGACTTGGCACCCGCTTCTTCCCAAAACTGAAGACACCAACGAAAGGAAAGTGTTTTGCTACATATATGCTCTAGCCCTAGGGTATCGTAATGTGTGTGGTTTTGTGGTCAGTTTTGGATTACTCCCTCCTTCATCCTGTTGGAGTACAAATTAGGTCAAGTAAAAAGTTCGTTCTTATTTAATTGCTGTGGAACTAAAGATAAACCAGAAAACCATTTAGAATCATTTGCATAACCTTGGATTCAAAAAGAAGATCGATATTTGGCTGTCACACGAATTAAGGCAAAAAAAACATGATGGACCGAGTTTCTATCTGCGAATCGCTGCTAAATCGCAACAAAATCGGTCCCGTTTCTGAAGCGGATTGTGATTGGCGATGAAAAATTGGTCACTTAAGACAACATGGAGCGGCCCAGACGGTGATCAAGACCGGATTGACGGTCAGGAAGGTTTTGCTGCGTGTTTGCCAGGATTGGCAAGGAATCATCTACTATGAGTTGTTGAAAGCTGCACTCATCCAGAAGAGACCATCTTTGATCAAGAGAGCCCAAATTGTGTTCCATCAGGTCAACGCCAGGCCACACACGTCTTTGGTGAAGCTCCAGGAGCTCGGATGCGAGGTCCTAATGCACTCACCTTATAGTCCAGACATGGCACCATCTTTTCCTATAAATAGCGTACGCGCTTAATGGTGAGAAGTTGACCTCAAGAGAAGCCTTCTGAAAATTGGCTCTCCGAGTTTTTTGCCAATAGGGACGCAGCCTGCTATGAGAGGAGTATAATGAAGTTGGCATCTCGATCAATAAAAAAAAAACGAACGAACTTTTTACTTGTCCCAATATTTCACGCGTTGTTTGCAAGATATCGGCGAAAGTTTTCGGCAAATACTTACTAACATTCATGAATATTTAAAATTAGATAATCAGAAGCATTTGTTCGTTAAAGGACCGTTGAAAGAATTCAGGCTGACTGAAGCCGTATCAATATCAGTTAAGGAGGATTTGGCCAACTACTCTTGGTAATAAATACCTGTGTACATACGTTCATGGAAATATTATAGTATTTCACAAAAATCCGAAAAAATAAATACTACATATGTATGTGCTGATTATGCTATCTATTTCATTTAAATTTTATTTGCTTTACCTTTGCTCAGTCAACTATTGGTGCTGACTGATAATACAAACAAACAAAGTCCCATTCATTTGTAAAAACAAACATTGGATAGCGCCACAACATGAGTCAAAAACAAAAAAAAAAATCTTATAAGTGGGATTAGTAAACTTACAAATCGATATACAAATGAATAGATAGTGGTGATGTTCTTTATATGTGTGTGTATTTATAATATATTTTTACTTTTGGCGGTAAAATACGCACAGTGACGCAATCGGAACAGAGTATCCCACTTGTTAACACTGGTTTGAGACATATTGTACATATTTATTAACTAACATTGGTTTGTGTTAAAAAAAATTGTTGCACAAAACAATTCGAAAAAAAATTTCTTGGTATAGTAATCGTGTTTTTTGGTATTATGTAATTTCGAACATAACAACGAAACGAGATGTATATATAGTATTGGTACGCAATTTTATGTACATATATAAATATATATATTAGTGAAAAATGAATTTTATATCATAAGTAATATAGCCAGTTTGGGGTTCAATACGAATAAGTCGAAAAAGCTGGAAAGTCTCGCTTTATACTAATTTATTTTCTAGAAAATTAAATGAATCAACACGGAAAATATTTTTGAATTGATTGCTTTCAAAAGTCAGTTTAAGTACTGATAATACAAGTTCACTGGATTTATACAGCGGTAGTCAGACCCATTCTGTCCTACGTTGTCACTGCCTGATGGCGAGCACTCGAAGAAACCAAGTTCAGCGGTTGGAAGCTATTTTAATTACCATCAAAAGCTTTGGAAAGTCTTCTAAATTGTCTTCCCGGAAAACTTCAAGCCAGCTGCAACGCTTTAAGAGTGGACGCGACTCAGCCTTGGAGGTATCGCGGATATTGACTTCCGCGCTGTTTCCAGCGGAGATACACTAAGCTATATACACTTATTGTTTTGACAACCTCTTCTTCACAAGAATCCCTAACCGGAAAAAATGGTAAATTGCTAATGCTCCGAAAAACAGAATGAGGTAGCCATATTCATAGATGGATCTAAACTCGATGAAAGGGAAGCTGTGGAAATCACTCATCACCGCTGTCAACCAATTTTAATTTGAGGCTACCACACTACTGCAGCATCTTCCAAGCGGAAATTATTGCAATCATGGAAGCCGTTGAATGGTTGCTGGCATGTCTGATTACAAGCCAATCAATCATTATTTACTCGGGTAACTAAGCTGCCAATAGATCTTTTCAATGTGGTTACATCAAGCTGCCAGCTAGATGCAAAACAGCTGTGGTTTGGATCCCCGGACATAGAAGCATCACAGGGAACTATCTGGCGGATGAGCTAACGAGATAACATACCACTCTAACCACAATAAATTCTACCATTATCTACGGCAAAACTCAAACTTAAGCCGGTTTTCACTAAAATAGCAGACTTCATATGGCTTAGCGAATGAACCTGCAACGAGCCAAATGTTAAAATATCAAGGAATTTAATCCGCCTAGACCGGTTCATCATTAATTTAACAGGCATACTAACTGAACGGTAAGAGAATGAGATGCTCTTTCTATAGCTGCAGGAACAAAGAAGAAGATTATGTCAAGCACTACCTCTGTCAATCTCCAACCTTTAGCATCACACGACCTAAATACTTGGGACATCACTTCTTTGACTGCGTGGCTGGCTGGCTACCTGGTTCGTACATCTGAGAAAGTGAAACATACTCCACAGCGGTATCACAACGGACCTTCAGGCCAATGTGCACTGGTTGCTCTGATTAGCAACCGTATCAACTCAACTTAACTCACTGATAATTCAAAAGTCTCACCAATTTTTTCACTGGTGATGTTAATTTTATATAAAAAATGCACGACATTCTGGATGGATTATTAAAGGCCTGCAGCCCCCAAAACCAACTTCAGAGCCTGAATTGTCGAAAACATGGTGATGGCCAACATTTTATGGGATTGAGTGTAAATTATCCATTATGAGCTACTACAACCTGGCGCAGCAATCGATTCTGAGCTTTACGGACAACCGTTTTGTGAAGTTTACAACAAGCTCTTCTGGCAGAGAGTTCAAGCAAAATTTTACGTAGCTTAGCAGGGTGTTTTGAAGCACTCACCACCACAAAGCCAGGAGACCTTGCATTATATGACTACCATTTTCTTCGGTCTCTTCTAAACTCTTTTGAGGGTAAATAATTATCCGACCGTAAGCCGTTGGCTAAGTTGTTCATAGATAAATCAAAGAAGTGCTACAATGATGATATTATTATTGGTCATAGAGATTAATAATGCCCAAACGAGAGGTGATCAATGTCTTTTATGGCCGGAAGTGGCTGGACAATACTTACTTTCAAGCCACACAAGAAACAAAGACATGGATATTTTAAAGAAAATATTTCCGGGCCGTGTTATCTCTCAAAGAGGTGATCGTATTTGGCCACCGAGTGTTGAAGTTCTTTAGGTTTGATTTAACACCTTGCGATTTCCTTGTGAATATCCATGTGAAAAATAAGTCAACATCGATTCAAGACGTCTGAGATGGAATTCGTGATTTGGTCATGGAAAATTTCATAAAAATGTTACTGTCCTGTATGCGTAGGCGTGGCAAATAAACATCCTATCATTTGTCTCAAGAAATGTTATTTTTCGCTGAACTTCAAAATAACGCCTCTTATTGGAACCCTCCGTAGTACTAGTATACGTAAGGCTAAGGTTAGGTCCTTCCGTTTGTCGGCAAAACATCACGGCGGTCAACATAAATTAGAGAAGAAGCCAGAAATCGCTTTAGCGGTTACAAAGCGCCAATTATATTAATTATATATTGTACATAGCGCAGCGGAGTAGAAAAAAATTATAAAAAAAAGTTGTCACTGTGAAATATCGAGCGAATAGGGACTTAGAATTCAGCTGGACAACAGGTGCAACCATTAGTTGATTGTGCTAACACGTTTACATACAAATTGTATGTAAAATGAATGTGTGTGGACATTTGTACATACATATGTAGTTGAATATTAATTACCTTAAGCCAATCAGCCAACACCACGACAGTGGGATCCTGCAGTGAATTCAGCAATTCCGATGCAACACGTTTCTTTTCCCGGCGATAATTTTTACGCTGCGCTTTATAGGATTCCTTCCGATTGAGTTTGGAGGGATCACCCGATATCTGAAATAGAAAAGTAAATATGAAATGAATTTAATTTAATTTAATTATAGAAGGGTACATTCTTTTTTTCTTCATACTTTCTCGACTACCTCGACTATACTACAAGTGTATTTAAACAAATGAAAAATTAAATTAAAATTTCAATGCCTTTTTTTATTATTCAGACTTCGAGGTAATTTGTATTTAAAAAGCTATTGGACAATAAATTTCAATTAATTTTTCATTTTGCTATTTTTAGTGCCACAAATATGACGCCTCTTACTGTAGCGTATAAACAAATATTTCCTTAAGTAATACGAAGCGAAAGTGTTAGAGTAATTTGTTAACCATATGGCAGAGTGGGTGTAAAAAATTAATTTTTATTAGCTCATTAAACGTTCAAAACTATACACTAGTACATACATAGTATATTGGTTTATATGTATGTACGGGTATTTGGTATATTTATATATTATAAATACATATCTATGCATGTATGTACATTCAGGTAATTAGCAAACGTTTAATTATGCTTTAAAATAATTTTAAGAATTTTCTTCAAAAACAAAAAGCTTCACTACCACTACTTTAGATGCGAAAATTGGAAACATTTAAGTTCAATAAGCGTGGTGGCTGGCATGGCGTGGTCTTTCATTTAATTTTATGGATAATAAGAGTTCGAACTTTTTGTATATTTCTCTAATTATACTTATAGGAAGTCTATAAAGTTAAAGGTAAATAATTTCAGCTGCTTTTGGCTATTCATTTAACATGATTTGTATGTACGTGTATGTATGTGATGACTTGTTTATATCCATTTCAGCTGATTTGCAAATGTTTATGCGAACGATTCTTTTTAGTTTCGTTAAAAAAAAGGCAGCCCAGCGAACGTGACTCACATAATTATAAGTCATTACATTAAATCTTTGCATTGTTGGTAATTAATGAAAATAGACGCAATATGGGTACGTGATCAAAAAAGATATATTCAAAAATAATTATTTTGAATTTATAAAATAAAAGCTTGGACATACATATAGCTACGAAAAGCGTTGAGTCCAAAGTGTAGTTGGCTGGACAAACGAAAAAAAAAAAAAATACTAGATTCCTGATTAAAATCCCACGAGTGCCAAACTAGTAGGAAAAGTGGACGAATTTAGGATAAAACAATTGCTTTCAATCGGTTTATAAAAATTGGATAATTGAAAGTTGCTACGTCTTTATTATTTAATTCTTTATTTCTATTTTAAACAAATCATACAATATTATTACTCAAAACAAACTAGTCAAATCGATGTGAGTTTTGAGCTGTAGGGCGATTCTCTATCGTATTATAACGATTTTCGGATCGTTATAATGACTTAACGATAATTTTAACGATATTCGCTATTCTCTAAGAATAGTATAACGATTTTCGGATCGCAAAGAAGACTTAGCGATAATTCTAACGATTTTAATATTCGGTGTACTTGTTTTAACGATATTCGCTCTCGCTGTTGTCGTAAACTACTCGAAAAATCGCTAACTAAGCGACGAATATTTTTAAGTTGTTAGCGATATCGACAAAATTTTGTTATTTCATATAAGACAGTAAAGTGTCTAAGTAATACAAAAATAAAAATAAAATAATAAAATAAATGGCTTTTGAATATTTGACATAGGATTTATCACAAGATGAAGAGGTATCCTACCCTTCATCATTGGATAGAAGTTTGCGTCGAGAAGCGCGGAAGATCCTTTTCATTTGGATGCTACCGAGTTTCGCCGGATTTAGTTGAAGAAATCGTTTCTAAACTAGATTGTCAACTAAAAGGAAGAAGAATAACAGCATTCTACAGAGCTATCGATTGCACATGAGTCCCAAAAATCATGAAGAAGCGTATACAAACCACCACGGATACAATTCCATCAATGTGCAAATGGTGAGAGTAAATTTGTTTCCGATTACTATTGTAGTAACAAAGTTAATTATATTTTCACATAGATATGTGGTCCTCATCGCAAGATTATACTGGCAAATGCCAAGTACCCAAGAGCGCGGCACAATTAATTTATTTCGAGCTCCCCTATAGAGCGAAGAGTCATGCATGAAAGTGCAAACCATAACATGCTTTTGAAAAACTTTGTAATGCATTGCTATTCTTTTAATAAAAATAATTTCAATAACAAATTTATTTGTTTTTGTCATTCTTCTTTGTGCTTTTTGTACATTTTGACGTTTCGTTAAGCTGTGGTGCCATCTTTCCTACATTTGTGCGATGTCGATTATCGTAACAACTGCGATAGAAATCGCATAATCGTTAGCGCAAGCGACAAAATTCGCAACTTTGCGATCCGACAAATCGTGTCGATAAAAGTTACAGAATTGCACTACTGGTATGATATTGGTATATCTCTGATTGAAATTTGATGTTGGCTTACTACTGTTTTGATTAACTATAGTTTTAACTACTACTTGAGTGAAAATTTGGAGATACAAAACTACCTTACTTAGTTCGAAACTTTAGAAACTTGTTTTTATATTTATTTATTTTTTATTTTTTTTGCTAATTTAAAATTTTTGGAAATTTTAATTTTTGGACATTTAATTTTGGGAAATTTAAGCTGTTGGAAATTTTTATTTTTAGAACTTTAAATTTTTGGACATTTAATTTTGGGAAATTTTAATTTTTGGACATTTAATTTTGGGAAATTTTAATTTTCGGACATTTAATTTTGGGAAATTTTATTTTTTGTTCAATTTTTTTCTTATTATTTTGTTATTCTCATAAAAAAAATTCTATAAGTTAGTTCACTTTGAAATTTTTGGCATTTTTGATCTTGCTACTTATAAAATATTGAAGTTGGAGGTTTTTTTTTATAATTTTTTGGGTTATCTTCTAAGCAGATGCGTTGCTATTGAATACACGTTTTACACAATTTTTCTTAGGTGGAAGAAAAAAGAGAAGAATTGGTTAGATGATTTGTATTATAAATAAAATGTTGACATTTTTTACTTTTTTGGTAACTTAGACTTATAATAGGTTTTCTCGACTTGAGGCGAAGCGTCAATGGTTTGACTACCTGGTAAGAGAGAGCAGTCATAACTCCGGTGCTGACCGTATAGAGAGCAGTCATAACTCCGGTAAACTCTGCACTTGATTTAGGCATATCTCTTTAATCGGATAAATAGTTGTTACTACTAGAATTCACCAGAAGGGCCAACAGCAGATGACAGAGTAAAACCACGTACAGGGAAAAGAACTTGAAGATCTTGAAACTCGTAAAATACATAAACTGTATGACTGATTTGAATTCAAACGTAGATATAGTAAATTAAATAAACTCCTCATCTTCTTGAATTGGGTTTTGATTTTGGTGGGTTAATCTTTTTCCTTTCTGATACTTTCTCACAATTTACTAAAGTTGAAATAAACTTGATGAAGTCCAGTATGGTTGAAATATATAAGATAGTTCAGGATTTTTTGGCATTTAAACATTTAAAAAATATGAAAATATGTGAAGAATATATTTTATTTAAAATGGTAGATTTTTTTAAAGAAGAAGGTGGCAAGAAAGAACCGAAACCCGTTTAACCTAAGATAGCTATGAAGCCGACTGCGCTGAGAGAATGAAACTGCCTTTAAATTATTGTACAATGATTTCAATCTATGATTTTCTCACGGTTAACTTTTTCTTAAATTGTTTTTGTTAAATTTTTTGAAATTATTTAGTTTCGATTCTTTTTGTTGTTTATTATTTTTTTATCTTTATTTGAACTTCTATTTTTATTCTTCTATTTTTTTTTAATTGCACTCTATAATTTCATATTTTTCCAATTAGTTTTTAATTATTTAATTAATTTCTTAAAATTCACTTTCTTGCTGTTTGATTCTTTTTAATTGCCATATTTTCATAGTTCTATCGGTTGTTAAGATTAGATAAGGCTCTAATTACGCACATAATAAATTTCTATTTACTTTTTTTTTATTATTTTTAGACTTTTATGATTTGTAAGCAAACTAGTCGCCTAGATCGGACCACTACAACATAGTACATACATTGCTCCTTTCAACAAACTTTCAGATATCGGAATTAATATTAAATTCTGAAAAGAAATACCACGAATTTGATATGATAAAAACACATTCAATTATTTTTTTACAATTTTTATTTCAATTATTTACTTTAATTTTGTTTGAAATTTTTTAAGTTTATTTTTTTAAGGTTATTTTTGTTTTTAATTTTGTTTGGTACCTTTTTAATTTAATTTTCTTTTAATTTTGTTTCTTTTTCTTTTTGTTTTAATTTTTTAATTCAATTTTCGTTTTAATTCATGGTAATTGTCATTTCTTTTAACTTGTATTTTTAATAATATAAAATTTTTTTTGATCAGTTTTTCACTTTTACTATTTTTTTAATTCATTTTTACTTTTAAGTTTTTTTTACTTCATTTTTTTCTTAATTTATATTTTTATTAGCTTTTTTTTAAATTTCTTATTATTTTTATTTTTTTTATTCTAATAAAGGGCTATTATGTTTTATTCATATTTTTATATCTTTTTTAAATTATTTTTTTATTGATTTGTTTTTTAAATTTTTTTTCATATTATTATTTTCTTCAATTCATTTCCTTTTTAATTTTTTTAACTAATTCAATTTTATTTTATATAGGTTTTATTATTAATTTTTTTTTATTTTTTGGATTTTTATATTTTTTGGTTTGGTTTTTGATTTTTTATCTTTTTTATTTTATTTTTATTTATTAAAAAAATTTATTTTTTATTAATTATATTTTTTATTTATTTTGATTTTTGTAATTTTTATTTTTTAAAATTATTTTATCTTTTATTAGTTTTATCAATTTTTTTTTTAATCTTTAGATTTTTTTAAAGTTGATAAGACATTAAACTTAAAAATCAAGAGCTAAACATCAGTGAATAATAATTTCTGAGACGAATTCATTTCGAAAACAAATTCAGTTGATTTTCCTTCAGACTCGATAACAGCAGTCAATAATTTGAGGGTTTTTAATGATTTGAAACCTCGGGAATATTATTTGTTCTTCAGAATTATGTTTTCGCAGTTTATAGGTTAATTTTTAATTTTTTTTAAATAAGTTTACTTGGAAGCTTCCAGTTTTTTCTGATTCCCAAATGTTTAAAAAGCTTTTCATGTTTGAATTTCTAACTGAATTTATTGCCAAGACTCTGCGACCTCAGAACCGAGGAAGTGTTTTTGTCACAAATATTTTCTGTTCAAAGCAAATCACAAAATCGCAGTTTAAACCGGTACCCGGAAGCCGGTTAAAATTAGGTAAAAACTTGAATGTATTTGAATAGTTTTTGCTTCTGAATGATTTTTTTCTTCACAATAATTATGTGCTGTGATAAAAAATATGGTTTTTGTATTTCTTGGACGATTAGTCATGCCAGACAATTTGCTTTGAGCTAAAATTTATAAAATACATACGTACATACATACAGATATATGCATAGGTCTAAACAAACATATATGAAAACACACAAATAAAATTGCGGTAAAAAGAAGAAGATGAACGTGTGCATTTACTCACCTTATCAGTTTGATTGCCATCATATTTGTCACGACTATCTGTTGCCCAACTGGCAAGTCCTAGAAGAAATTTCATTGTTGTCATTTAGTTTTTGGAAATCAATGTTTATTTGTTATTTTTTTTTATGTATAATTAATAAAAACAGTTTTTTTTCTTTGTTTTCGAAAATAAGATTTGGTGTAAAAAAAAATTGTTTTATAGCCTCTTAACACAATTGCCGTGGGTTCAAGCTCTTCAATAGTCATATATGACTGGATATTTTAATAAATCGGCACTTTATTTGGACCCACACGCGCTGATTGACTATTTGTTTGCACAACTGACGGTATTGGCTAATGAACTGCCATGCCGTGTACATGTGCATACAAGCATACATACATATTTATGCATGTATTGACTTATATATTGACTGTTTACACTTTATTTCAGTGTGTTTTCACTATTATTGCTTCATTTTTGCTTTCAACCAATAAAAATTGTAACGGGAAAAAATTAGTTAAAAATTGGCAACGTCAACTTCACACAGAAAACTCTATTAGAATGTTGCATAGTTAAAGGTTGTATATATGTATATATGTATATAGAAATCAGCACAAAAAACAGCGCCACCGCAAAAGAGCACAGCGAATTGTGTGAATAGCGAACAAAACAACAATACAACGCAACGGGTGTGCGACACTGAAATCAAAAAATACTAAACTGAAAACTAAAAATCAAAAGCTAATGAAAACTGGCCATCGAAAAAATTTTGTAGGACAGAGCACATATGCATATTTGTGTGGCTCTGTATGTATGCATACATATGAACGTTGAGTGAGTGTATGTTTAGAATGGATGCGGGGTATCTGCGCTTGAGGTGAAGTACAAAGTTTTGGCGCATATACGGTCACAAACATGCACACGCACACACACAGACATATACATATATATACACGCAACACATAGCATATGCATGCAATCATTATAAATATTTGCATAAATAAAGCAACGAGAAGTGAAGTGAACAAATACTAAATGTGGTGCCATAGCAATTATTCAATTAATTATCTTTTTGTTGTTGGTTTTTTAATTTTGTTTATTTGTTTACAACCAAGAATTGTCCCAAACGTTTCGACATTTAAAAAAAAAAATATTAACAAAAATAAAACTATGCAAACAAACAAAAAATAATATAAGAATATGAAATAAGTGAAAAAGAACACAAGAAACAAAACTTAGAAAACAAAATATGTGCAAATAGTTCGCATAAATTATACAAAGAAATATGGGGAAAATACAAATATATACTTATGTATGTATAAATGTAGAAATATAATATAAATAAAAACAATAATAAAGAGAATAAAGGAAAAACAAATAATGAAATCAAAAAGACGCATCATTTAAAAATATTGCCTTAAAAATCAACGAGTAAAACAAACGAGAATGTAATAAGAAATAATAACAGTACCAAATATGCTTGAGCTCGAGTGAAAATTATAAGAAATACAATTAACAAAAAATAAAATACAATGAAATGGCCAAAACAAAATAAAACAAGCTTAAATTAAACTAATTAAAAATAAAAAACTAAATGAATATATACATTTAAATAAAAAATTTGGTTAACTTAAAAAATAATAAAAAATAACAATTTAGAATAAAATAAAATAAATAAAAAATTAAAATTAATAATATAATAATAAAATTTAAAGAAAATTAAATTAAATTAAATCAAATATTAAATTAACTTAATTAAACAAAAAACTAAAATAAAGCAAAATCAAAATTATTTGTTAATGCTAAATAATATAAAACTAAAATTAATAATATAAAAATAAAATTTAAAGAATATTAAACTAAATTAAATAAATTATTATATTAACAACTAACTACAATAACGCAAAATCAAAATTAAAATAAAGTCAAAAGAAATAAAAACGTAATAAAACAAAGCTTTAATTCAATTAAATTGAGTTCAACTAAAATTAAATTAGAAATATAAACAACAATAAAAATAACAAAAATAAAATAAAATAAAATTAAAGAAAGTAATTTGAAATAAAATAAATATATTAAAATAAAGTCAATTAAAATTAATTAAAAAATTAATAATTATTTGATAAAACTATTATAAGTTATATAAAAAATCAAATAAAATAAAATATAACAACGAAAAATTAAATAAAATTAAATAAGGTATAGTAAAATAAAATTAAAATACAAAAAGTGAACTGAAAAAAGCAAAAAAAAAATAAGACAAATAAAATTGAAATTTAACTAAACAAACTAAAAAGTAAAAAAAAAACATAAAATAGAAATACAATAAAAACAGAAATACAACTTCAATAGAACAAATTAAAATTATGTTAATTTAAAATAATAATTGACTGCTTTATAATCGCAGCCATAAGTTTTCACAACAGAATTAATATTAAGCGAAGTTTTTTTGTTTAGGTTTACCAGCATTTTATATTTAGAAAAAATTCATATTTGAACATTTTTTTCATAATATATTTTATTTTGTGCAACATTTTATGTTTAGTGCAAATTTTCGTTTTAATACTTTTATCAGCCAGCAATATTTTATCTCTGACCACAATAAGCGCTTAAGACCTACAGTCTAGTTAGTTAAAAATACATATAGGAGTATATACTATTTGCGCTTTGTAACTGCCGAAGTGATTTTCGACCAAGCTCTTTCTCTGCCATTTCACAATAGGCGTTTTTTTCCAACAGATGGAGGAGATGCTTTAAGCCGTCTCTGAACGGAGAAATTACACTTGGAGGGCTTGACATTCCTTGCCGAAGGGACGACGCGATCAGAAAAATGAAATTTTCTACAATTTCTGGATGTTATTCGTAACAAGACTAGACCCTGGCCATCCGAATCATAGTAAAATGTTAAGATCACTAACACTTTAGGTTCAACATGCATGCTCTGCGTGCAGGGCCGTATTCAGGGATAGCGGTTTGGTGTTCGAAGATTTTTGAATCAACTTTAACTTCTGAAGCCCGTAAATGGTGAAACAAGGCATCTCAGTCTTCAAAAAGGGACAAAACAAATGGTATATCAAGGGACGCAAGGCTTACTATCAAAATTATAATTCAAATTTGTTTATCATAAAATCTTAAGTTCAAAATCGTTATGCCTGCAGTGTGCTTTTCAGTTATGGTTATGCCCGTCAAAGCTGACCATTTCAAACAAATATTTCGTTTATTAAAAATTTATTCAACATTAGCCGTCTCTACGTTTACAAGAGAACGTTTCTTTTCGAAAATAAAATATCCGAAAACTTTCAACTTTGTTGGTAATAGTGTAAACTAAAATGAAACGAGATGAAATGAACTTAAAAAACGAAGATAGAACGCAATTCAATTTAAATTACTTTGATGTTTTTTTTTCACTAGGAGAATCATATGTAAGTTATTAGTGCTTTGTCTTGGGTAATAAAAAAACTGAATAGCCCCTCCGAAAAACGTCCAGGCTACAAGCCTACTTACACGTTTTTATTTTCAGCCGCTTTTAATATTACGAACACTTTAACGATATGTTGCACATTTAAATTTTTAATTTATGTTATGTTAAGACATATATTGTGTTTGTTTTGTATTTAGTAATATTTAGGTTGGGATATATTTTATTTTTGAACATATTTTATGTTTAGACATATTTCATGTTTGAACATATTTTATGTTTAACCATTATTTATACATAAGTTATATTCATCCCGTAGAGGTGATTTCGTATAGTATCCATAAATACCACAAACAAATAACATTTCAATACTTAAATAATATGCAAAAGCAAAGAAAAACAAGATGCAACAAAGAAAAGTCAACAGACCGCCAACCGTTCACGTACAGATGCACTTAAACTCACACAATACGAGTATAGTCGAATAAATAACTTAGCGGGGTTGTTGGCTGCAGGCTGCATGACATACGTCACTGAGGCACACACACTCACACACACACACACACACACTCACGTGTATGCGTGCCTGTCTGCATGTTACGTATGCGACGTGTTGCACCGCACAACACTTGCACTTGCGACACTGAAAAGCGAAACAGCTGGCGACCAGCGGACTGAGATGCCACTTACTTTCACTTACTTGCAAAAAATTTCTTTCCCCACATTTAACCCGTGCACAGCCACTTTACTGTGTGATCGATGTAATATAAGATTATTCACAAACATTTGACTACACATTGCATTATTAGGCTGCGCGTATGTATAAGTATGTATGCATTTCGAATAAATTCACTATTTAGAGTATATTAATGACACAACATTGACGAGCTCCAGCATCCATACTCTGAAGTCTGCACTCAATTTCATGCGTTTTTTATTTCAACAATAACAAAAACAAAAATTATTACGATGATTTCCACTTCATTCCAGACGATGTACCAACAGCTTAGATAGACTGTAGATATTAAATAAACAGACGATTAGACACACATGTATTCAAGTTGATAAACCGCTATACCAGCACGTATGATAACATTTAAAACGCACAAAAGCTACTGCGAGCACTTTTACGAATTACATACGAGTACGACGACGACGATAGCAGCCCGCGACTGACTCAGCAATTGTCGAAAAACACATGTCCGGCGTTGTATTGACTAGACTCTAGCAGCAGCGCTATGAAATTCTCAGCGATCACTGAGCACAGAGCGGCGAACGATACAATCGATACCGGCCGAGCCGCCGGGTATTCTGCCAAATTCCGCTGACACCACAATACTCGCCACTCGCGAAATATTTGTGTGCATAAACAATGCCAATAACTGAGGAAGAGCTAGAGAAGACACCAACGGCCGCTAGAGTAGGGATCTAAGTGCTTGCAGAATGTGAAATAAACACAAACTCAAACAAAAGAAATAGTAAATGAGTTTTAGAAGAGTAGAAAATAAAAGTGAAATCTCCAGATCTCAAAAAAAAAAGAGATAAGCAAAGCGATCATGGAATGCCGGAGTACGCTGAAGAGTGTCGCTGCGGTGGCAAATACTGCGATTAACGGCAATATACGGGTATTTATATATATGTAAGTACAATAAAAGGTAAACG